ATTTAGCATTTCAATATTAAAAACAAAACTGTGATTTTTGGAAAACAAGCTTAGCTGTAAGAAATTGCCGATATCTAATTTGATCCAAATCTGACATAGGTTTTAACTTTGACAAAATTTATGTAGTAGTTTGGCATAAACCTATTAATTTAGCATACGACCACGAAGAAATGGTATGTTTTATGGGTTGGGGTACAGAATGTAAATGAATGAAAATGAATTAAATTAGGTCAAAATAAAGTGGATTAGGCGAAAGAAGAAACCAGAAAAAGGAATGCTGAGGCAAGTTTAAAAAGCTGTTGCTCAAATAGACAAATTTCAAATGATATAAATATGGAGCGTTTATGGTAACAGCCACTTTAAAAAAAATATATGAAAGTATGTAGTTTCATAATTATTTAAATATTCAAGTATACAAAAGTAACCCTAAACAATATGCTTACAAATCAATTAATTGCCTTCCAGTTATTTCTGACCTGATTGAAATGCAAAAATTCTCTTCACAGAAATTGAATTAGCTGTGAAAATTTCTTCCCTAAAGGCTAATCTTTATCTTAATAAGTGTACATAATAAGAAATGTTTATATAATAATAATTTATGTTAAAAACCCACAAAAAATTATATTCATTCAATTCATTATAAACATTGTTTTTGTATGAGATAAATTCATTAAACAGAACAATAGAATATAATGTATTTTTCGTAGGGCAGAGTAAAAATATGACTGGCTAAAAAGTCTTAGTTATTTCTTAATAATCATGCTTACTAACCTGATGGCCAGCAGAGAGAGAGTTGACTTACATTTAGTAAATCTTCTCTATAAAAAAAAATCTCAAATTAAAATGTAGAACATATAGACAGCACATAAATAGTACATGTTATATAGATGAAATTTACCCTCTGAAGCAATGATCCTCGCCTTACAACAACCACAATGAAGTAGGTAAATCTTCACGCTATTTAACACTCGCGAAACAACTTAACGCACTTTTTAAATATCCCTTCGCGAAAACGGAAAATCACAGCCGTCGTTACAGATGAAATTCGAGTGCAAATACCTGTGGACAAATTCTATAATTGTACTCAACTAGGTTACTTTGTAATCAGCTAAATTAAAAACATACATTGACAATAGGGTCAGTGAAATCCTAGATTTAACACCTGACTACAATTGATCTGGCAGACATAAAATTTCCCATGAACTTATGGTTGCAGACGTTTTAAATGACAATATTTGATCTCAAGAGGGCAGTTTGGCTCTCCCTGGCTCAACATGGAGTTGATACATCTGAAGAACAAAGAAAACAGGTTTTGGTAACTATTAAGACATCTTTGATTGGAACAGGAATTCAAGCTTCCCTCAGATAATTACATTTATATGTTATTTACAATTATTTTATATTTGAAACAAGTACTCAAATTTGTATCTAGCAATGAATTGTAGTATGAAAGGGTATGCATCAGACAAGTGACATGTAATACATGATTGCATTAATACAATTAAATTTCCCTCAACATTACTGACAATGGCACAAACTTTTATATTATCTGCCAATAGTAAATATTTTGAATCTTTGAAACAGGAGGACACATCGTTGAACATTAAAAACAAGATTGAACCAAAGTGAGATCCTTGGGGGACATCGGATGTTGCTCTAATGGTTTTGGAAAATTTAACTCTAAACTTTACATTAAGATTTCTATTGGAGAGATAGGATCTAATCCAAGCCAAGAAACTGCCACCAAACCTATTCTGTTCAACCTTACCCAAAAGCAATCCATGGTCAATCATATCATATCAAAAGGTTTAGCAATATCCCCTTGATTACCATTCTCAATGGAATTAAAAATGAATTCCTTGTACATTAATAGGTTAGTCATAGTTGAGCGTCCATTCGAAAACTTGCGCTGTTCATCAATTAGAAGTGGCATACAGAAGTACCTGACTTGGTCAGTAATAACAGACTAGAAAATTTTAGGTATTGTATTTAAGTTGCATTACAGGGTATAGTTACGAATGTTGCTCCAATCACCCTTCTTACAAACTGGAACAATGTACACTTCAATCCAATGCTCCAGTAGGCATCATATCTAAGTCCAGGGATTTCCTAAATAGGAGGAAGAGAGGGCATGGAATGAGCATAATTATTAACAGAATTGGGGGATCTTCATCAGGTCCACTTATAGGGATGGTTTTAGAGCAACAATTTTATTCATTAAGAAATATCCTGCTCATGTAATAAGGTTGGAAGAACTCACACTAGAGCTCAGGGAATTCGAGGATGGTTTGAATACTTTTTAAAAATATCTCATAACTTTTCAGATGTTGAACTGGAACAGGGTCACTCACTGGGCCTGTCTCCACTCGCAGGGTTTTGACTTATTCAAATGTGTTTTGCCATTGCACCATCTTCAGTGAGGAACTGTCACCAACAGCCCTCAGAGTCTGTTAATATTATATCACCATCCTTCATAGATAAGGGCATCCTTTAGTGTATCTTTTCTCGGTGATGAAAGACCAGAAAGATCTGACAGCATAGTCTGAACTAGATTTCTTAAATCATTTAACACCTTAATTATTCTATTAAGAAGTACTTAATTCCTTAAAAAACCAAACTGGAAACAAATTACTTTTTGTATACAAAATTTAAGAATATGTTTTTCAACTGAATTCGATGCATAGAATAAACAATACTAACAGCTTGGTCCAAGTCAAAAGATGAGATAAATGACCAATCTATTGAATCTATTTTGTGATTAAGATCATCGTAATTAGCATTTTTTAATTATAAAGGACTGTATCCTGATAACATTTATCATGATCTCTGAGAAAAAATGAAACATTCAGTGCAAGATGTAATATGTCAGCGGGAGCAAGACTGTTTAGTTCTCTAGAAACAGTGACAAAACTAATATTGCTAAATACTAAGTCCAGTATCCTACCCATACCATTCTGGGTGAAGAAAATCCAATTAAAAAAGAAAATCTATTTAGGCAACTATTGAACCAACAGTATAGAGACTAAAATCTCCACAAACCAGAATGAATAGATTTATTTTTGTTAATAAAGTTTCAACTTTTTCAAAAAACCATCTATAAACAAATTCATAAGAACCTGGGAGTATGTAAAAACAACCAAAAATAATCCAAAGTCCACCAATTTCTACAGAAATCCAAATATCCTCAATAAAATTGTTTTCAAATTATATTTTGAAGCAATAAAAATTCCTCCCCCAGGGTTATTGCTGCTAGTAACAACTGTTCTATCTTTTCTAAAGACATTAAAGCAGGGAGGAAAAAATTCACTTGATAGGAAAATCTCATTCAGATTAGTTTCCTTAAAGGCAAGTTCACACTCATAAACAAAATCACGTGACTGTGCTGGAGATAAATCACCAATTTTGTATGTAGACTGTTGCAGAACAAATCCTAGATGAACTAGAAACTTTGTCACACATCCACAACTGTACAGCTCAGTTAAACTAGTTTCCGTGACAAGTGAGATAGCGGCCTGCGTCTTTGATGCTTGTGCAGTTTTAATTTTTATCAAAAAAGGAAAATTAATCGTTACTGTTGGTGACAGGGAATGTTTTAGCAGACGGTCCTATATTTGGATCGACTCTTCTGCAAAAATGAAAATTAAAAGAGAGTTCAAGTTTCAGAAATTTCATGCAGCTAACCACCACGGATTTTGAAAATTTGCTACTTATGGTTGGAAATAAAATGCAAGGATGAAACAAGATTCAGAGCAACAATTCCATTATGAAATGTTGCACAACATGTCTCAACTTTTCCATCTGAGCTGGGAGACCATAGATTGCAATTTTTGTCTACAGAACAAGTGATTTGTTCCTGATTTGTCCATAAACAATCACAGAACTTTGTCTATTGACACAAGTTGCGCAATTTTCTAATATAGCCTTAAGAAAAATGATACCATAGTTACAACTATTTATCGCTTTATAAAATTCAGTACATTTTGACATAAGTCCATTCACACTTTGATAATAAATATTTATACAATTAATAAAATCTATATTTGAGCGACGAACATCTTGTCCAGGGAGTTTAAAAAAAACTTTCATAATTAAGTGGGCAGAATTTAATGTATTCCTCCGAAAAATATCCTCACTACCTCCATCTTTGAATCTCCATTTCAACCATTTACAAAGACAGTAGTTTTTCAAAATGCCCTGAACTTTGTCATATATTATTGACATACCGGGGCCTTTAATGAAATTCTTTTTGTGATTAATAAAACTGTCATTTACACAACAGAGGTGAATAAATGAAGTAAGATCCAAAAGTTAATGATTCTAATTTAAGGTTAATATCTGTAATGATAGGCGGGGGGGGGGACCGCAACGATTTAGTCTATGAAACGGCGCTCATCACTGTAAGGTAAAGCTCCTGGGTTCAAATCCAGCGAACCTGCATTACTTACTACCTACTTACAAATGAGCTTTTTTTCAAAAACATCGGCACCCCGAGAGTTCAAAAGTTGTACTTGACATACCCTTGTAAAATAAAATTCTTTAATGGCGGCATTAAGACTAGACCAGGGAGATCAGATCTTAAAATAATCCCAAATATAATTACACACTTTCTCAAAGTAACATCGGAAATGACTGAATAAACAAACCTCGATATTTTATCTTTGCTTTTCGATAATTAACTCCAGAAATATCGTAGAAAAGACTTACGAGTACGCGGGTCCACCCCTCGACCAAAACCATCCGCCATTACTAAGAACTTCTTTGACTTTAGGCTCATACTTCGACCTTGAGTTGAGATTTCCGAAGAAACATCCCTTTCTTTCTTTTTTTTTTGCCGAATCCACACTTCAGAGCTACCGGGCTTGTGAAAATTCTATCAGGACATATTCTAAGTGGACTGTATTTTTTTTTCTTCTTGAAATTAAATTGATGAGATTTATCTGATTTGGCTGAGATGATACTGGGACCAGTGGCAACAGATTTGACAGTTGGTTTGATGCAACACTGCCCTCCTACTTTTTCACGTTAGTCGTTAAAAGATAATATTGATATTTAATGATAACTTCTTTATGTTGAAGACAATTTTGTCGACCAAATTTGTTTTTTTCCATTGAGTTCTGTCTTTCAACAGTAAATTAGTTCTCAATTCACAAGTTTAAGTGGAAACAGGCATCAAGAGATGATTTTTGACGCATTCATTTCAACTTCAGTATATATGACAGCTCATCTTTCTCATGTAAGTTGAAATCATTTTCAAATTTACATCATTTACAACGGTATTTGTAAGCCCTCCAGTAAGTTGACCGTATCAGTTGCTGAGTCAATGTGATAAACTCTTTAGAAGAGGACGAATATCGAACTATCATCATCTTTCAAGAAGAATTGTTCCATACTGCTCAAAAATGAATAGGGATATTGCCAATTTTGTAGTATTTACTTTCCCTAGCATTTGTATTAAAATTTATTAGAAATTATTTTATTTTTTACTTAAGGAAAATTTAATTAATGGATTTTGAAAAATAACAAGTTAAAAGGTTTAAATTTCATAATATTGTTCATTGGACACAATAATTGTTTTAAACAATTAATACTGTGTATAATGTCCTCTGTTAGAGTAAAACCTCTATGCACCTGTTAGGGCATACCATTAATAAGGTTGACACTAGTTTCGTAGGGAATTTCACTTCATAGATGTTGCAACATCGCACTAAGTTGTTACAGGTCAACTGGCTGCAGATGGTGATGGAAAAGCCTTTTTTGCAAAGCATCCCACAAGTGCTCAATGGGATTGAGGTCTGGAGGCAATGGCGGAAGGGGTTCCCTTCCTCTTCTAAGATTTTCGAAATATTGAAAACAACTCTGCCTCTAATGAGGTTTGGCATTATCATCCAGAAATCGAAAATCCCTGGCAATGGGATCCCCGGTTTGAGGGATGTATTCCTCGATAATTTCTTGAGCATGACGGACTGCGGTGAGGTTTCCTTCAACAATATGAAGTCCAGTTTGTCCTCCAGCGTAAAACCCAGCCTAGACCATTCCACCACCTCCCCCAGGACTGCACTGAACGGAGCATGAAATTTAAGCATACCCGGTGTACTCTTTGATGCCTGCTATCACTATACAGACAGAAACGCGAATCATCAGTAAACATAACAGCATTCCAATTGTTCTCTTCTAGGCGCTCATTGCACCCTATTCTCCTGAGTTGCTGATAGCGGGCTGTAGCTCCAGGTCGTCTCAAAGGGACACACAATGTAAGGACAACTTCCTACGACTATGATTCGTTTGTGTTGATAAAGGCCTTGCCAAAACATCTTATACTTCATTTAGGATCTGTGGGCACTATGGAAAGGGTTCCGTTTTGCAACAATGACAATATTTCTGTCCTCCCTTAGCATCGAAATGTACTGAGATCCATTACCAAGCATCCTTGGCATATCCACTTGCTGGTGACTCTTCTTACAATAATATTGCGAACTTCTGGTTCAAGATGATGTCTTTCTATGGTTAAAGAGAATACAACTGATTTAAAATGGAGAAAAAACGAGAAAATGTGTTTGTTTACAAAATGAGTAATTACTATTCTTAAGTAAATCCATTATTAAAAATGAGGATTAACATTTGTTTGTTTTTTATTTATATTTTCAATATTGTTTTATCCAACAAGAATGTATCGGTTAATTTTATTAAAATTAACGGAATAAGAATAAAGTACAACTATCCCTATTCATTTTTGAGCAGTTTATTTCCTTGATGAAGATGGTTCAAAACTCTTATTCTTTAAATGACTCATATTAATAGTGTTACAAAAAGTTGTTACTTGTTGACAATATATACAATATTGGAATGTAAGTTGACGAAGAATGTCATTTTGACGCTCTTAACACTCATCCTCTGTTCAATGATTTTGCCTCTGTTTTAACATTGAATATTTATTTTTTATCTTTACCCACGCTATCCACAACAACCGAAGGCAACCAAAAACACACTTCCATAAAAAGTAGTTTTTATTTTTTTAAACGTTGCGATTTTGGAGTGCTGCTTGTTTTAAAAAATAGACTACTTTTTATGAAAGTGCATTTTTGGTTGTCTCCGTCTGTGGAATAGAGTGGGTCAAGTTAAAAAATAAATTTAAATAGCAAACCGTAGAATACAATGAGATTAACAATATTATCAACAGTATATTATTATTATCATATTAACAATATTACACTTTTCTTTGAATATTCTTGTTGTACCAAGATATTTAGTAAAAACATAGGTTGCTTAGATTATTTATTGTTTTGTTAAGCGATGCACCATTAACAATCAACCATTGTTTTGTTGTGTATTTAACATACCATTTAACCGCACACAAACAGAAGGAGAAAGAATCTCCATTCTAATTGGAGAACAGTTACCAGGATGATCTGTTGTGTCAAAAAGGCCAGGTTTAATATACTTCAACAAACTGTATCACTTTATTGAAATATTTTATTATTTTATTCATCTCTACCGGATTTACTTATTTTTCCATTTTATACGGCTCTCTGTATCTGTTAGATTATATTCTTTTTTAAAACTTTACAAAAAAAAGTCCCAATTCCTAAATTGTGCAGTCAATACTTTAAAACTAAAACACTGCCTACTGAGTCCACTTCTGTTCATCTGTTAGAGTGAGTTTCAAATTGGAGTAAAGATTGGATATTAATGATTATTCGGAGATGGTGGTCTGGTGTGATGTAGGTTTTAGAAAAACATTTTCTTTATCGTGCCGTTTCGATTCTTATTGAGATCATCTTCAGGGCTCAGTGTTTGTTTCCCGTATAGATGTGTCATTCTTGTCTGTTGAGTTCAGAGTGCCCACCAGTGTGCTTATTGCACATCACATCATTTAAAAATGTAACGTTGATTTCAACTATTACTCCTAATAACCAATTAGAGATAACATCTATTGAAAAAGAAATAATTTTTTACATAAAGGTATTATTTTTTATTTTAAAAAACATTAAAATACACATTGAATTGTATATTATATATATGCAGTTTTATTAATTAAATTCAAAGATTAATAATAGCGTGAAGATCAAAATTAATAAATTAAAACAAAAACATTAGGCAGTTTCCAGCTGAGGTGGTGGTTGTTGTCGTATTTTGGATCCAATCTGTGCTTGAATTTTTTTCTCTAATGTACTCACAATGACTGTAAGATAAAATTGAATCATTAATGGTTGCATTTTCAATTAAATATATGCTTTATGCAATACATACCATCTTTCATTCTAGTTTTCTCAATTGCCATCAAATTAATTGCATCTATTTGTCCACACACATATTTTATTTTCCTATCGAAGTAATCCTTTGCTTCTTTAATGGTCTGAAACATAAATATGTGATGATCGTTCAAATTAAAAGTTTATTCAAGGAAAAATTAAATTACCATGTTTATTAAAAATCCAGTACCAACGTCTACTAAAACTTTGCCCCCGTCTATAACAACACCAGGGACAAATATCTTTCAGAAAAATTTAAGGATTTTTTTTTTTATTTATTTATAAAATCACTAGCCCAACTATATACAAAGAGTTTTACTATTAGTGCATGTATATAAATATTTAACAGTTGCAGACATTTGGACCATTTGGTTTTATCACAGTATTCATTTTAGGAGAAATTGTTACTTTATAAATATCATTATAATGTAAAATAAATTATCACATTATATCACAAATGTTTTTATACTATTTACATGTTTTGCAAATATGGCTTCAGGTTTGAAGTGGACAGCACCTTTTACTTTTCTAAGTCTGGAATTGCTCATGAATTGTCTCTTGTATAGTCGGGAGTTGCATTTTTTTTGTGCATCTTCCTTACATACCTCTCGGCATTTATCGCTGTTTGCGTTATTTTATTTTGTTATATTTGCAGCTGCTTTATTTTATATGAAGATGCTGCTCCCTATATTTTGCACCCATAAAGGACTGGGGCCTTACGATTGATTTATAAATTAGCATAAAGAGTATGGTAGTACCTTATCTTGGATTTGCGGTTTATAATAGGAAGCATACCCAGACAAGCATATCCTTTGGTCACCTTTTTTATTTAAGTGGTACTTCCATGATAGTCTTCTCTCCAGATGAACTCCTAGATGCTTCACAGAACTATCGGGAGGATTCCACGCGATGTATTTTCCTTTAATTTGTTGATGCTGGTCGTCCGTACATGACAGTACGTTTTTACACTGCACTTTGAAGGGTTTTCCTCTACTTTCCATTTATCACAAAGTTTGACATAACCTCTTAAAGTATCCTGAACTAAAGAAATTTAAGTAAATTTTAAAATAATGGTCGACTGAATGAAATGAACAAATCATTTTGTAAATTTGTTAATATCTCAGATTTTCTTTGAAATTTTTTCACCTAATCCTTAAAATCATGACGATTCAGGAATAAAAATTGTTTTGACCCAGTAACAGAACTGACTGTAGTAATCTATCATGATATAGATCACAGTGCATCCCTACCTGCTCTAACCAACCCTGCCGATTACAAGATCCATTATTGAACACAAAGATGCATGGAAATACACAGAATATTGATGTACTGTTCATGAGACTATTGCAATAGCAGCTGAAAGCACTGCACTATCAAAATAACTAAATTCATGACATTTCAGGTGCTTATTTACTTTACTTCTGTTTGTAATGAGTCGAAAAGAGGTGTGTGACAGGGAATTCATGGGACAAAATGAGTCCTCCTGAATCTTTCCTTCTGACCCGCCGTTGGTTGAAACAAAGTGCACCCTGTCGAACACCTGGCATCCTCAGCATTACATGCCACCAAACCAAAGATATAAAACTATCAAAACAAGATCAATTCTTGCTTAAATTGACAAAAATAAGGATACAGAAGAAGTAAGTGGCACTAGGATTTCAGATCCGGTGATCTCTGGTTCTAGCCTGGCCATGGATTCCTTCGCTTCCATGTACTTGCTCTGGGCGATCCTCAGCGTCTGGTTTGAATCTTGGAAAATGCCTATTTCCTAAAAGAATAAATTTCAAATTTATTTCCACGCCGGCGATATGTCCACGGTATATTCATACCTGTTCAATTTGTTTCTTCAGGTGCCTAAGTGAGTTGATGGCAAGCTTTTCAACTTCTACCATTTGTATGATGTTGCCCTTTTCGTCTTTCATCTGGGGAATCTTTTCCGCCTGAGATGCCATTTTCCTACTAGAAAAATCAAAAATAGGCGAAAAACAACAAGCACGGCACGATTTGGTGATGGAATGAAACCTAATTCTAAACCAGGGGATAAAAAGGTGATTCGATGCTCTGCTGGTGCCTCTGGTGGGCTGGGGCTGACTTTTCATCACTTTACTGGTGTTCAAACTTGAAACTAGAGTCATCGGTAAGGTGATGTGATTTTCTTACGACTGATTTTTATTTATTTATTTACATATACAGACTGATAACTTAAATTACTAAAATACTTAACATACATAGATAAACTATAAAATTATATTGGGCTGGTGTAAAAATAATACAGGTTTTCAAAAGGTAGTCAAAACCATTTTTAATTTTTATAAAATAAAGAAAATTTATTCGAAATTTTTTCGATCACAATCTGTACATCTTTGCCAACGTGTAATAAGCGCTTTTATTCCGCTGACATAAAAATCTTTATTTCGACCCACAATAAAGCCTTGAAAGGCGTTTTAGGCTTCTCTAAAAAATTTATACCTCAGGAAGTGATCAAAATTCCTTTAAAAAAAGTAGAAGTCTGTAGGCGAGAGGTCGGGTGAATATGGAGGATGCGTTTGTTTCATATCCTAAGTCCTTAAGTTTCTGCAGGGTTGGCATGTGACCTGGCGTTTTCTTGGAGAAGAATCGGCCCCTTATTTACTAATGCTGGTCAAAGATGTTTCCCGAGCATTTTGACAATTTATTGGCTTTATTTCTCTGCTGTGATAGGTTCACCATAATTCAGGAAATTAAAGTGAACAGCCCCAGCAGTACACCACCAAACAGTCACCATAACCTTTTTTTGAGTGCAGATTTGGTTTCAGGAAGTGTTTTGGCTCTTCATCCTTGTCCAATCACTGACCTGTACGCCTCCTGTTTTCGTATAGAACCCATTTCTCATCGCACGTGATGATCCGATCTAGAAATTGATCATTGTGGCGGCGCAACAGAAGAGACGTGCAAATTTCAAAGAGTCGATTTCTTTGGTACTTTCTTGGTACTTACTTCGCGGTACCCACATGTCCAACTTCTTTACTTTATCAGTTTGCTACAGATGGCGAACTATGGTTGAGTGGTCAACACTAAGCTCTTCCACAATTTCCCGTATTGTGCTACGTGAATTTTCTTCAATGAACATTTTGAGTTGGTCGTCGTCCACAGCGGAAGGCCTACCGCGGATCTTCCCTGTCTTCAAAACCATGGCTGCACCTTGCATTCGTTAATGCTTCCCTCCCCCCAAACTGTAATGAAGTTACGCGGTTTGGGCCGCACTTCGCCCAAATTTAAATCCGTACAAATAAATTTGACGAAAATCTAGTTTGAACTTATTTAATTTTGCAGGTCCTCACTCATATAAAATTCAATAAAATATAAACTAAAATGTTTTGTACAAAAGGTAACAGTTAAAAATATTTATTACAATCCATAAATTAGATTTGAGGATTTAGCTTTGTTTATATAAAAAACACCTGCGAAAATAAAACAAATTTTCAAAACCTGCATTAATTTTGCACCAACCCAGTACATAAAATAATTAAATTACTGGCAACAAATAAAATACATATACCTACATAATACATTGATGGATAAAATTAACGCCCACCCTTAACTTCTAATATAGGTTTAATATATAGGTTTAGATCTAATATATTTTTCTACCAAAAATAAATTTCGTTGTAAAAAGACATTTAAAAAAAAAATTATTATTTATTCTAAAAAAATATTGGTAAAAAGCAAGCAAATAAATAAATATAAATAAAAATGTAAACAAAACTTTAATGCCGAATTTTTCTATCTCTGGTACGAATCATGTCCTTTAAACGCCTTTTCATTTCTTGGAAAAGATTTCTGATAAAATCTGATATATTTAGGTTTATTCATATTTCGCTACCAAAAATCTATTTGGTTGTAAAAATACATTGAAAAAGAAAAAGTTTATTACCTAATTCTAAAAAGAAAAAATAAATAAATAAATTACTGAGTAAACAAGCAAACAAAAATAAGTAAATAAATATAAATTTAAAATAAAATTAATGCTGAATATTTCCATCTCTGGCACGAATCACGTCGTGTTAGTCGCCTTTGCATTTCTTGGAAAAGATGTCCGGTAAAATCCTGAGGAATCCTTTCCCATTCATCAAGAACTGCCGTTTCCAGCTCTTCTAGGGTGTTAGGATCTGCGTTTTGCCGTCGTACTCGTCGCTTAAGTTGGTCCCAAATGCATTTGATTGGGTTCAAATCTGGACCCCGAGCTGACCACACTCAATTCCAATCTCATTCGGCTAGTCATCACAATATGTGCTCTATGGGGTCAGGCATTAGCAAGAATCTCACCGATGTGGGGGAAATGGTACCCCGGTAAAGTTAGAGATCTTCCATTCGATGCGGGCGTCCAATGAAATGCCACCCCATGGAATGCCTCCTGAGGAATCACACAGCATGGAGCGTACCTTTCTCCTCCAACGTCTCCATATGAAAGTACGCCCATCTGAAGATTTGAGGCCAAGTCTCACCTCATCTGTAAAGAGAACTCGTCCCCAATCTTCCAGTATCTAATTTACATGTTTCCTATGCGAATTGACGCCGACATTTTCTGAGCTGCGGTGAGAATAGGTTCTCTACGAGCCTGGTGCCGGGCCCTGTGGTTATTTTCATTTAGCCTTCTTCTTACAGTCCTGCAGAAATCGAAACATTTCGAACATGTCTTATCCGATTTCTTATCTCATTTCCAGTAATTTCCAGGTTTCGTAGAGTCTGATGACGGATGAATCTATCGTCTCTCTCGTCCGTGGACCTTTTCTTGGCCGCATAGTGTGAAGCCCTGTTTCTCAGCTTTCTAAGCGCCGAAGAACCCTTCCTATTTACCATATTAACACTAACAGCGCTGCACTGGAGGACACATGAGAAACCAGCCAATGCAGGCACTCACAATCAGTGTTAGTGATTAAGTGGCAAGGAGGTCTCGTATCCATCGCTTAAGGCGACGTGGCGGGTTCTCGGGATGGAATTGTGAAGAAAGGTCTCGAGCAGTAGGATAAAGATGGATCAAAAAGTTAGTGTACAACACGTAGAATCGGGAACTGATCATTTCGTTGACAAAAGGAATATTGAGGCCATTGTGAGGTAGTGACATAGTAAGGAGCTATGACGATTATTTTAGGTCTTTTGATTAAATGCGCTGGATGTTACAGTTCCACTCCATATGTCCAAAGTTGTCGCAGAAAAGTCTTGTGTTAGTTTAGTATTGACAATCAAGACAAATTTCGATCATAGAAGTCTTCGTAGTCGTCCAAGTTTTCTATTATGTTGTTCTATTAAGTCTTGTATGGGGTTTCCATGTCAGCCTGCTGTCTAGGTATAGTTCCTAAGTTTTTGACTTGAAATGGCAGGACTATTTTTTCAATGAATACATTTTTCTTCGTTTAAGCTTGTCCTCCACTTTCTGCCCTAGTCTTCGATAAGCTCAAAATGCTCAAATGTTCTTTTCTTTATCGTCCGCGTATGTAGTTATAGTGGTATTAGGGTATATAGGTAGGTCAGCACTATAAATGATATAAAGGATGCACGTCGAAGTTAACAATTCTAAAAGATTTTGGCGTCTTCACATTATTATTCACTTTTGTTGTAGAATTGACAGTCTACAAGTCAACTATATTTTCATAAAATTCTTTTTTTTTTTAATTAATACAATTTTCAAAACTCTTAAGCTGTTTTTATCCGCTTGAGTCCATCTTAATTTTCATCTACTAAATCTTCCTTACTGTATAAAAACCTTGATTTTCCCACTATAGTCCTTTTTTAACTGCAGGCTTGATCTACACCTTCCCCTAAAAAGGATGTACTTATCCTACAATCGATTTATGTGTAGTGGTTTAATTGACCATATTAAGCTTTCAATTAATTTTTCTTTGTGTTATTCTAACGTCTTGGTTGAGATGAAAAAGTTAGTGTCACGAGCTGGGTTCGAACCCACGACCACCACCATTGAGCTACGTTCAAAAGGTTGGCTCTGGGAAAAATTACACGCTTCGTACCTTTCATTTTGGCTTGTCCACTGAGATGATGAATCGCTTGAACAACAGTAAAGTGCCGGTTTTGCAAAATTCTCAAAATCAAAAAATCGGTACCCTAGGGCGTCCAGAACCGGGCTTTCTCTGGTAGGAGTGTAGGACCCAGTTTCTCGAAAACGTCTAACGGCGTCTCGCAGTTTCATAGCGATCTCCGATGACAACACCCCATACCTGATGGACCATACATCATCACACCACGCGCAACATCCTCAGCACTAAGTGACATTTTTAACTTTAAAAATTGAAATTCAGAAAACAAAGATGAAAACTAAACGGTTTGTTGCTTCAGAATTCAAATGAAACTGAACAAACATTTTAAATTCCGTCAAAAGTAAACATTGAAAAATCCTTTACCCTTGTTTTAGGTTAAGGATTAAGTGTATTTACGGCTAATTGATATTCCCAATTTAAAACATTGCATAAACAACTATTTATTGGTAAAAATAATGAGACAAATTAAGGTCAGAATTTTCTTTTATCGAGAAAATGAAAAAATCAATTGGGTGGAATTTTTTGCCTGTCAGTTTATCAGCAGCTTACATGCAAAAAGGTCAAGGGTATATAGCTTTTCCAGTTGCATATCAATATTGACATAACCGAACAAATTTATTTCCGGCTGAATATCACGATATCACAGGAAAAAAGAAATTAGTTTCCATTTTTTAGTTAGATTTATGGGGCACTTGTGGACCGCCAATAATCCGGCGATAAACGCATCCTCGTCGAGACCGGAGGGTTATAGGACGAAAAATTAGCCATCAGATGCATTATGGCCATCCGGGGGTTGTTTTCCCATTTCGTCCCGGGGGTTATTTTCGATGGGAAGTTGGCGAGCCTGCCTCCTCGGCTACAAGTGGTTCGGATCTGACCCAGGAAGAGCTCAGTACTCGCTCAGTTGTGATTTGGTTCGAAACCGCGGTCTTTCTCCTTTCGACGTTCAAAGGTGAGAACACTGATATTTTAAAAAAAAGTGCGATACTGTCTCCAGGATTTTATTTACTTTTTGGACGCTTCTGGTAATAAATATTTTAACCAAACTCTGGAAACTTTACAGTTTAAATGTTTTATGAGAAATAACATTTACTAACATGGGTTACTCAACTCCATTCATGTTTTTCCTAATAACATTCGAATATGTAATAATTTCATAATAGTTA